CTCCCTTCCTCCCTTCCTCCCTTCCTCCCTTCCTCCCTTCCTCCCTTCCTCCCTTCCTTCCTTCCTTCCTTCCTTCCTTCCTTCCTTCTGGAAACACCAAACACACAACTTGAACCTCCTATTGATAATTCAGTGTTTCCTCAAGTACAATCAAAATTTAGTATCATAAACCTTAGTTAGCTAATATGGGAACACAGGATATAAAAAAAGACCCATTTAACATCTATGGAGAAGATTGTCCTGCATGGTCCCACAGGAGAATAAGGGAATGGAGAGTAGTACAAATTATAAACTGTATAATGTCTCTATAACATTTATCCAGTGCAGCATTGCCTTACATGTAATGCAGCAGACTGTACAGAAATATCTGCTTTATTTAGCAGTACTATCACTCTTTAGATTCTTGGTATGTTTGTGCATTCAGCAAATACAATATGAAAATTTTTTCAAGCAAGCTTGCTTCCACCCATTTTGGGTGTCAAATATGTTCCCCTACAGTCTCTGCTTGAGGAGTTGCCCTCTATTTTACTCAATGATGCAGTTTTGCTTGATTTGCTCAGATTTTGTTATTTCAGAATTCTTTTACATCTTTGCAAATCAAGAAGCTATCTTTCCTATTGTAAGGCCTTGAAATAATTTTGCAACTTTCATCTTCCTCAATGCTAAAATAAATGTTTTTCGCCACCAGAATCATATCTAAGGAATCGTAAAGTACAAAAAATTCAAATGGAGGTTATTTAGACAGTGCCAGTGGAAGTTAACGACATTGAGAGGCAATTTATATAAAACCAGCAGGTTAAAAAAGATCATGTACAGAATGCCCATTCTAGTTCATTAATGGAACTGTTAAAAGTGTAATCAAAAAAGAAGAGGCAAAAATAATTGCTTCACAATGCCATGCTGCAAAGAGCACAGTAGTAAGCATTTTGGCATCTTAGTGCATCTGTTAACAACACAGCCCAGAAATTACTGGGAGGTACAAAACTTTGCACCCAGAAACTCTTCATGTACATGCTTATTTACTCAAAATAGACTCCCTTTTATTAATTTACTCCATTTAGAAGAAAGGCAGACAACGGGGAGTTGCCAGTAATCAGCCAGGATTTTTGGATTTTTTTCTTCTGTGAAAAGCTTTTTCTGCATATTTCAGGTTACATGGCAGGACCTCCTGGCAAGGGAAATATTTAGAATATTTAGAAGCATATTTTATTGCTCAAAAATAAGTGGAGATTTCTAGGATTCAGTGGTAAAGAAAGTTTCAGTTCAAGAATGTTTTGTAATAAATGTGACCCTGAGACACCGATCTGAGTCAAGTTTTGCTGGGAAGAAGCTGCATATTAGCAGAGCAAAATACTAACTATGAAATATTTTACATCAACACTGCAAGATATAGACTTTTACCCCACATCCATCACAACTTTAAAATACCATCACCAGCCCTGTGTGAAACTCAACATTCTTGTGTCACACAGGGTTCATTTTGCTGTGTGAGGGTTTGCACCTTCTCATTTCTCTGCTCAGGTTTCAGACCTGAAAGGTCTCAAGCTCTCTAGTCACAGCATGGAATGGGTCATGCTTCCTGCTGCCCCATCTGAAGAATTGCCCCCTTTAATGAGAGAAAAAGAACAAACAATGAATAACAGTGCATTTCTATCACATGCTCAGAAATCTGGGGTGGTTGGTGGGCACCTTCATGAATACCAGCATGAAAACAGGATCATGAATCCATGAATAATGTCGAACTGAATTGGAGCCATTTATTTGTGCCTCTATTTCCAAATCTGAATTTAAGGTATTTGCTAAGTTGTAGCAAATAAGCATTTACGTGTTTGCTAATGGAACAGGTTCTATAACATAATCTATTAATGAAAGCCACATGGCATAAAACACAGTGCAGTACTATTTTATCATTTGCCTAAGAGATTTTTAATGTACTATAATTCCACCTTTCATCAAAAGTCCCACAGCTACATTTCTGCTTAACCTGGGGACTGTGGATGACTTTTCTGTAATGTTGACTGTAGCTCTTCCAGAGGTAAGTGTCCTCTCTGGTGTAGGGCTTCTGCCCAGGGGCATTGTGTTGAGCAACCAAGTGAAACAGCGAGATGTGAAAAAGCAGAGATTATGCACCATTCCCAGAAACAGCATCACACCAGTTCCCAGTGATTCTTGTGGCCTTAGATTTTAATACTATTCATCACTATTCCTATATATGACAGATGCACTATTCCTATTCCATGACAGAAATCTGGGCCAGCCATCTTCCAGGAGGATCTTTCTCCTTCCAATTGAATGCCTTGTATACAAGGTAAAGAAAATGTACTGGGGCTAAATACAGTGTTAACATTCTCCCATAGGGTGTGAACATAATGATTATGCTCTTGCAGTTGTCTCTGGCTTTCTACATTGATGACGAGAAGATTTATTTTTGAATTTTGCAAAGAAGGTGTGTCAGAGAAATTGCCAAAAATTGCGTCAGTGAAAGAACAATTCAATAATATCTTATCACCTCTTTCATCTGATTCTGACTTCCATACACCCCAAAAATGTATAATAAATCAGACTAATACTTTAAATGGGTGCTGGTATGCACATCTTGGGTGATACTTCAAGTGATATATATCCTTGGGTGATGTACATCCTTTCCGAAGGCGACCACCAGCTGATGTAGCCCAAGAACAGCATGGAGTAGACACTACTTAAAAATGATCTTTCCTGACTATGAAAAATGCCCTTTGTTTGGCTGATTTGGCTGGGATTTCTATTCTAAACTTGCTTTGTCTTTTATCCCTTAAATATCAGTTGGAATAGTGAGTAGAGGGAAAAATAATTTCCCCTCCAACATCTATATACTCTCTTCCTAGATATACTTTCCAAAAGCAGAGGGTTACAGCCAGAGTTGAAGGCTGACATTTTTCTTTTGAAATCAAACTGTCTGTTACTCACAAAGGCCCCACAGTCTATTTGTTAGAGTAGCATGGCTGTATTCTGGCATGGATATCTCTGAATAAATGACTTGAAGCAATCCTGCCAGGGAGAAAGGAAAATTGTGTTGAAACCAAAATGATAACTTCATTGTCAGTGTGCCTTAAAAGAGAAAGTTTGTGGCAATAATTTCTATGAGAGACAGCTCAGGAAATTTGTACTGGTAAAGACTGAAGTCTTTAATTTTTGCATTCTCAATGTATCCTTGAATATAGAAATAAGAAACATCAGACAAATAAAGGCAAATATTTCAAGGAAGACACTTGGGGGAGGGGGAAGAATTTATTTCTTATATAACTGTTATATGACTTCTATAGTACCTACACCTGAGAGAAAATAGGTTCAGTAAAACTGTATTTCGTGGTATCCATATAAGTTAATAATTTTACATTAATTGTAGAATCTACTTTTAAAAAATGGTACTGTTTTATGAAAGGTGTTAAGTAAATATCACTGTGTTTAATTCTGACTTTGTGCTTCCAGTCTCCCTGACTTATTTTGTTTGAGACCCACTGTGCCATTTGGATATATGGGAAAAAATTTTAAGAATCCCAAAACCCTAAGCTTTTGAAAAGAGGATCTTTTACACCTTTTGAAAAATATCTCATAGCCATTTTGGGCAGTGGTGATCTGTAAAGAAAACAGATTAGAAAGTTTGATAATAGAGGAAGGAAATATTATTATCACAGCTTGAAATCTGTTAACAGGGCCTTCCAAATTGGGCAAACATTAAAGTCAAATAGAAACTCAATTACAGGAAGATTTTCAACTTGTCAAAAATAATTGCAATAATGTCAGCAATGCTGAAGGTCTAAAACAAGGAAACTATTGTACAGTGTCTCTAGAAAGAAAGATTAAAGGAATGCATGGCGTAGTTTTAGCAAAAGGTCCAAAATACTCACATTTATTTTGGTTTTGTTCTGAGGCCAAAGACCACAGTACTGAATAAAACTGAAACATCAAGCTATAAATTTCTGACAGATGTTACATCACATGAACACTGTGGAATGGTCAATATGGGGAATCATTTATCTGCTTTGCTGTGAACCAAAACTTGTAGCAAATACATGTACAGGACAGAACTATCAGTTTGGATGAGCTGGACCTTTGAGACATGAACTTATTTGTGCTTGAGTGTTTAGCTAATATTGCAGGAGGAGTGCTCTGCATTTGCAACTAAGGCTCCTGCAGAGTAAATTGTTTTAAAAAAGAATTATTTAACTACTATAGAAAACTTATATCCATTACTTATTTAAATGAGGTTTTAAACAATTTTTTACAAGGCTCTGTTTCTTTGTTCCCTGATAACTTAGCCAAGGCTGAGATAATATTTATAGTACTACTGTCTTCATAAGCAGTTCTTGTGTTCATTCTGAGCAGGAATTACAAAGACATAACAGGACAAACCAGAAAAAATTAGTAACAGCATCAGAAGTGTTCTTTCTTTTTTTAATCTCCATGTTGTACTGTAAATGTTCATATACAAAGTCCTGCAATGCACAGAATTATTTTTCTTTTCTTATCCTTTTCTTTTTCTCCTTCTTCTTCCAGGTGTAATTCCAATAATCTATTCTGGCTTGGACCTCTACCTATTCAGTGTCTAAATTCTGCTGAAATGAATGGATATTAGAACTACGTAAACAATCACCTGATAGCTTTTCAGAAGTACTTAGGCAGGTTAGTCCTCTTTCAAAAATCTCACTACAGTCCACTTTATAATTTTAAGCCTCCTGATCTGTTTCAGGATGTAAAGGGGGCTTATAAGAAGAGAGAGCATGACGTTTTACACACACAGGACCAGTGGGAGTGGTTTCAAACTGAGAGAGGAAAGTTTTACATTATATGCTAGGGGGCAATTCTTTGCTCAGTGAGGCACTCCAAAAGATTACTCAGGGGAGTTGTGGATGCCTCATCAGTGGCAATGTTCAAGGCCACGTTGGAGGGGACTCTGGGGAGTTTGGTCTAGTGAAAGGTGTCCCTGCCCATGGTGGGAGAGTTGGAACTAGATGATCTGCAAGGTCCTTTCCAATCAAAAGTTTTGTGATTCTACATCCATGATCTTACCCTAAATGTGTAAGTAACTTTCACAGGGCATTAGATGTTATGAAATTCATTGCTTTGAGAGACTGATATTTTCTTTACTTAATTATTCTGTTGAAATATCTCACCTCCATTTTTTTTCTTCTGGTTTTAGAATATCAGGACCTGATTATGTCATATGACAGAAATGGCTTCTCATGAAAGCCTGATCCACAGAAGTGCCACAAATGTTAATTTTTCTTTAATCTTCTCAAGCTATTGAAGTTGCACAGCATTAACACTCAATAGCTCATACCAATATTTTAATAGCCAAAGTGACACCCACACTGTAAGAGCCAGTATTCTGCTAACAGCCAGGGTCAGTAACACTTTCACAGGGCCAGACAAAATACTTTCCCAATCAGTACATTTTCTAAAATTATTTCAGGGACCAGTGATGAGAAAGAAATGTTTGAACCTCTGGTATTGTTTGTTGAAGAGTTCTAACAGATTCTCTCCTAGCATCCCTCCACCTTTGGAAATCTGTTCTCATTTCATTATACCAGGTCTGCTTCCAAACTCTGTGCAGGACTTTTGAATAAACAAAGTAAATGTACACACCAGAAACACTCTGAGTTTGTGCTAGCTATTTGTTTTACTCACATCACAAAGAGATTTGCAGATCACCTTTTCAGAGCTGCATGCAGCTGTATTTCTACACCAGGGATGTAGAAACCAGTCTGAGTAAGTGCTGAGCTAGGAGTCAAGAAACCCTGGCTTAGCTTGTACCATAATTCTTTGGGCTCTCCCGTTTCAATAACAGTTGTATGGTGGTTTTGCATCAGAAGCAGTACATGACCCTGATAACACAATCCACTTTGCACTTAAAGTGCAAGGATTGTTCTTCATCCAGGGCACCAGGGCAGAGTGTGTCATGGTTCCATCCACCTCATGTGTATGATATATTTCTTTTCCTTAGAAAGTAGAGCATGGCAGAAAGGGGAATGGACTGTGCCTCATTTTTCTCTGGCATAAAAACACAGTGCAGTGAGGAGGTGCATCTAGATGAAGGAGGTTAAGAGTAATCGCAGTTCCAGGAACTCAGCGCCTCTGGGACAAATAAACTTATTATTCCACTCATTTCACACTCAAGCATTACTTTGATGGTGTGGATCCACTGAGTATTGGGCTCTGAAGCCTTGGATAGATTTTACTTGCAATGGTGTCTAGCCAGTAGGGAGTGAGTAAGGGGTGTTCCTCAGGAGAGATCCAGGTCACAGTATTTGAAAATAAGCTTAGGAAATACAGACTCCATTCCCTCTTCCCATCCTGACCAGTTATACTGTTTCACATGTTTGCGGTTTAGGGGAACATTGTGGAGATTTGTGAGCACAGATTTATCCCACCCCATGGAAGATAGTTACCTGAGGCAGCTTCAAGCAGGGAAATTCCTTGCCCTGAGATGTTTCCAGGTAGTAGTCAAGGAAACTAAGACCACTTTCTGAGGGTAACTTTCTCATCAATAACTGAGCAGAGCAACCTAGAGAAGTGTCTAAC